CTTTCATACTAAATAGATACCTAATCAATAGGATACACACCTTGATAATCAATTAAGATTTAGGTTTAGTTGAAGACAAGCCATAAAGGTATATCAACCAACAAAAAATAGTACAATTGTATCGCTTTCTATCTATTTGGTGCTTCTTTTTTTTGTATAGGATTTTTTGTTTACCCTCATATATGATTTTTTTACAAAAGACTTGTAATTTGTAGTACAATCGTGTAGCTAAATTGTAATATTTTTATTTAATAGAATTTATAAAAGATATTTTAAATCAATGGATTATTTTGGATAATACTGACCTATTTATTTCTTACTTCTTACTTCTTATAAGTTGATATAGGTCTATCAATATGACTTGGATCACATAACAACTAAAGATAAATTAGAAAACTTAGTGCTAGAATATTATTATTATAGTCTACAAGTTAATGAGGTGTACATTAAACTAAAGCAAGTTCTTATTCAAGAATTTCATATGTCTAAATTTTGTTACTTTTGCTAGAAGTTTGTTCATCTTCTATATCCAATAGATTGAATATTGTATTTAAGTTAGAAAAGTTAGTATAAGTTGGCAGAATAGATATAAATTTTTAAGCTATCATGAATAATAATTCTCTTATTCTAAGAATCCACTACTCTTTGACCAACTTACATTGCTTGCTCTATTTTCTTCACAAAGGAATTTGACGACATTTATTTAGGATTTCTTTGATTTTTCTATTAGCTTTTGGAAGTAGAGGTTATATTTTTGTACTTGTGTGTAATGGTAGTGTTTTTGTTTTTGAGATGTCATAATACAATCTTATAACAATGTAGGTGAATTGAGATTTTTGGAAATTAGTGGACTAATTGCAATACTAGTGTAAATTATGGCTATGAATAAATACAATTATTGCCAATGCATGATGAAATTCTATCTTTAAAATTATAAAATAAAATAAAATAAAATATTAAACCAATGAATGTTAGTTTGAGAGGTTTTGTTTGCTTTATGCTATCTTTAAAATTATAAACAATAAAAAAAAAATATTAATATCAAGTCAAAGAAACATACAAATAGATAAAAAGAATTAAGACAAAATCCATAAGCAATCAAACATAGCAAGATATTACAAAGATTTCATAATTCCTTGCATTGTCCAAGTTTGTGCAGACAAATTCAATTACCAAGTTTCTAACTAGTTTGTTTTAGATTTACAAATAAGCAACATTATTTCCAAAGCAAGAATAAATTTTTTAATTCTTTAATAATAATTATCAAATATTATATTTTATTATAAGAAAAATTAGGATTTAGTATTATATTAATTTATCAAAGAACTTGAATATCAATTGTTAAAGCCACTATTATTAAATTATTTAATTTAATAACAAAAGCTTATTATAATAAGTACATGGTTGAAATTCCTTTGAATATCTACACTTTGATGTATAATCTTTTATTTTAAATAATTATAATATCAAGAAAATATATTTTTTATATTCTTCTATAATTTTAAAATAAATAAGAATATAACTTGTATCTAAAAATATATGAAATAATTTTTTATCAAATATTAGAGGAAAAAATATACAATATTAGTAAATCCAGAAGACATGACATTATTTCAAAATTTTCATAACTAATTCAAAAGAAAATATTCTATATCTTTTTTCTTTAATACTTATCAAATTGTATGTACATTATAGATCCATCTTAATGTAGATCTTAGCCTCACTTAATTAATCAAAGAATTGTAATATCAAATGCAAAGAATAATAAATTTTAATGGTTAATTTTTTGAGTCTAAATTAATCTACACATATTCAAAAGGATTTTTTTTTTCTTCTTTTTTATAAAGAAAATTGGCAACTCTATAAGAGATTTTGAATTTTAGATTAAAAGTTTTAATTTTTTTTATCAATACATTCTTTTAAATCAATAAGTTTTTTTTGTGAAAAGTTATAAATTAGTCTAAATGGTAGTTGAGTTCTTTCTTGAAGATCAATTCTACATTCATATGATAGATGTTTTGATTATATATATATATATTATCTCAAAAATATTTTAACCATTTTTATACTACTTTGAGATTCTATTGAAACTTCTACTTGAGTGAAGACTTGATATTACATAAACAATAAATAATTTTTTTTCTTATGCAACTTGAAAAAATGACTTAATCTAACAAATGAGCCTTAAGATGATTTGAAAGCATTTAAACCAAATCTTAAATTGACCTTTTTATAATTTTTAATTAATATTAAGTTATACATTATAAAGCAAGGAAGGTCAAATAATACTTGATTTAAAGTATATTGAATGATGTTCAAAAAAATGTTAGATCCATGATCTTCTAATATTCCTATTAATACTCTCATATATTATATCTCTAAATATAATTTTTATTTTTAATAACCTCTATTTAGACATGTTGGATTTTTTTTGAAATATCAATTTTTTTTGCAATGTAAGGTTTCTATCCATAAAACATATTGAGACTCCAATGTCTAAAAGTATTAAAACTAAAAATTTACAACTTAAAGTTTTAATAATTATAAAAAGTTTTGACAATTGCATTTATTTTTTTTATTTAGTATTAACTCTTTAAATATGATTATATCAATTTGAATAGGTTCTAAGTTTAATTAATAGATTTTTAAAATTTTAGAAGTTGTTGCTATTACTTGATTTATTCCTCTCCAATTGAATATTGGTACTTGATGTTTTTCCAAGAGTTACTTATTGCATTCAATAATTTGAGTAATAATTTTTTCTAATAGTTATTTTTTATTCTAATCAATTATAGGCTTTTAATATTATCTTTGACATTCACCATATTGTAACTAATTAATAATATTCTTTCTTGTTTTAATCTATATTATAAATAAGTTATTAGAATTTATCAACATAAATAGCAATTAAATATGATTTTTTATTAAAAAGACTAGAATTTCGATTTTATAATCTCTTTAGATTTTTCTAAATATAATTGTAAATATCTCCAAAAATACATTTAGATTATGTAATAGTTATAAAAAAATTGTATCAAATATATAAGTTTTTAATAATAAAATTTAAATAAAAATATGCCTATAATTCTTATTTAGTAATATCATCAAGATCTTGAAGAGGATATAATCTTAAGAAGATTTTAATTTGTTTTAGAAATCTATAAAAAAATTATTTTCTTCTATTAAACTTTTTTAACAAACTAATCTTTTGTTTCTTTATACTTATTATAGTAAACTCTTAAATTCACTTATAAAGTTGATCTACGTATATTTATTTCTTTCAATGGTATAAATTCTTAAAATAAATATTAAAATTTATTATTAATTTTTTATAGACATCAAAATAGTAGTTCTATAGTTGAAATTGATAATACCTAAGATTTGTATCAAAGAATGTTAAAAAGCTCATGAAGATTTACAAGGTAGTCAAGATTTTGACCATTTGTAAAATCTTGAGTTTCTAAAATTTATTTTTTTAATATATTTTAAATTATTTATTTATTTAATTTCAAATAATTAATCAATATTTAGATATATATGGTAAATAATATAATGCTATAATTAATAGTTTGTATAATTTTTATAATAATTGATTAATTTAATCTAATTTTTTAATTTTTAATTCTATACTTTCTTTTATTTGCTTGATAAGTTGTTGAAGTTAAATTAATTATCTAGTTCATATAAATATAAATCCATACAACTTATAGACTTTTAGAAATCAAATTTTTACTTATTACACAAATATATAAGAATAAACTATAATTAAAAAAAAAACAAAAAACAAAACAAAACAAAAATCTTTGAACTAAGTCATGAATATGTACATTTTTTAAAATTCAAAATCAAATAAGAATTCCATGTCTTTTTCTCCTTGCATATCTATTTGACCATTGCTTAAAAAAACAATGAATCTTCTTTTGAATCTAGTGCTACTTACTGTAGAATAATTAAAAAGAAAAAGAAAATGTTTTAAAAAGATCCTACTAAGACAACTACATTAGACCAAACCCTTTGCAACAACTCCTGTATTGAACTAAAATGCCTAAACATCTTTTTGCTCATGTTCTCCCCCTTCCATCTGCATCTGTCAGTGTTGTCATTCTTTCTATGTCCATTTCCTAGCATTCTAATAGTTCATAAAGTTTCTCTTTCTCTTGCTTGTTATTGGCATGTGATCTTCCAATGCCACATGAGCGGGATGAATTCCCGTATCCATGGTAGCTCCACAGTCGGGAGTTGCTGTTTTCCAGCCCAAAATCTTCGAGAATGCTGGCACAACAGCCATGGTCGATGACTGGTTTCGGTAGGACATTGAAGTTCAAAAGGGTGAAACGAGAACCCAGGGCGGATCTCATCAAGGATGTGGAGGTGAAATCCTTGAGTTAGCTTGTGGATGTGGCTCTGAGCGGTGACTTGTGGTAGCAGCATAATCGGTGTTGCAAGTGCTTTAGTTTTTCGATGCACTAGTGGGTCTCGACCTATCTCAGACGAAATGTGCACAAGAGTGGTCGCGGTGGGTCAGTTTAGGCTGATGAAAACGATTCTAAACACGCAGGAGCGATGCAATTGCACCATGGGATGCTGTGTCTTGACGTCGAACTGGAACGACTAGGTCAGAATTGTACACTCAAGACGAATGATGCATTACGTTATGTGCCCGCATTGGAATAGAGTTTGAGGCGAAAGGAAAATTATTTATATAAATAAATAACTTAGAAGAGTTGTTATATCTTTACAAGGAAGATAACTCTGTGTCTGTAGAACGTGCTGTTGATTGAAGGAAGCGGCCTGCAAAATGTTTACTTTGACCAGAACTCATCCTCAAATTTGCCCCCAACACCTGCATGCATTGTAGGCCTGAGAAGTAGCCAGATGCGTTTATCGATGGATTACTAGTCACGATCGTTTTTTCTTTTTTGTTTGTTTGTTTGTTTGTTTTGTTTTGTTTTTTTGTTTTTTTTTGTTTTTTTCATGAAGACCAGACTCTTTGAGTTGATATGTCTCGTTTGAAAATGAAAGTTAAGAGCACTACGAAAAAGACTAATAAAGCACCTAGATCAGTCACTGAATCTATGAAGGAGAGATTCTTACATTCCCTCGGCACATCCGTTCAGCGCGTTCCATTCGCTGTTACTCTCGTGTCGTTTCTCCTCACGTGTAGGAGCAACCCTCCAGAAGCTTCAATGCTGGACACCACACATGCTCCTTCCCATCCTCACAGTATTCGAGGACACCCTTCAGGCCGGCCACGCTCGTTGACAATGCTATACCACGACACAACCAAATCTGCTTCGTCGATAGTGGTCTAGCTCACCTTAAATTAGCATTGTTGCCATTCGACTAAATAAGTCAGTCACGAGTGACTTGCTTCTGTCAAGCACTGTTTATCAGACTTCAAGCACGGATGTTCAGCAGATGCCAGTCTCAGGTTGCCGCTATCTGAGTGATATTGTTTCCCACGTCAGCGAGTGATAATGTCACTGATCCTCCGTTTGCCTCATATAAGCTCTGTAACGTGCTTTTTTAGCAAAATGCTTGCGTGTTGTGCTTGAGCTGTCGTGCAAGCCTCACGACTGATCCAGCAAACTGGCACATTAGTGTCTTTCTCAATGTTGGCAGTAATTTGTCTTTGACCGAAAGGCAGATCGATGTCACAATGGCCAATGCCTCTGCATCATCATCATCCGATATCCTTCGCTCACATTTGATCACTCGTCAGAACGAGCTCTTTCGATAGATCTTGGTTCGTGAGCACTGGTGGGTGTTTGTTTAGATTTTTATGAGTAATTCTTTCAGAACAGATTGTAATCTCTGTTAGTTTCTTACCACATATCCTATGTTAAAAAAGCCATCCAGATAATCAGACAAGTTCATTTTGGCAGGCAAAGATTGACTTATTTGCAACGCAGTTGTTGCATTTGACATGAATGGTTTAGGTTCTTCAAAATAGAAATCTATTTGTTTTAAAAAATAAAAAATAAAAAACGGAATCCAATTCCACGCCATTGTCATCCAGATCACAATCAAATGGTTGAATAGGTTGAAACCCTTCCCTGTCAACTAGATGCTGATCTGTAAGGTATTGATGGAATGCCTGCCACCTCAAAATCAAGTAGTGTAACATCAGATTTGGGAACATGTGTCACTATTCATGCATACGCTAAGCAGTAAATTTTGGGACGAGAGAATAGTCTGTATTTGAAATCCAACCCAGATGTTTTTTGTTATTTATTATATTTAATTTCTCAACAGGTTGAAACAAGCACAATGAATCCCAGTAGTAGAAAAATGAAAAGCACCTTGTCGATCAGTTTTGAGCAAGATAAGTACGAAGGACATCAAAATGCACAAGAATAATGGATTGACTGTTACCTAGATATTAATTCCATTACTTGCATTGGAAGTTTGGGGCCAATTTGAGAATATTCATAGTACAAAATCCATTGTTCCTGTATGGATAGGGATATAGGATTTTCGTCCCAACGCCTTCACCCTAAGAACCAAGGTTAATATTTTATCGTTTTTGAATTTTGAATTTTTTACAGTATTATGTTTGACCCCTAAACAATTAAATCTCTCTCTCTCTCTCTCTCTCTCTCTCCGTGTGTGTGTGTTCAACTATATATATATATATATATATATATATATGATTCTTCCAAGTAATCTTTTACTCTTGTGGATGTCCTGGAGCCCATATTGTTGTTAACATTTTTGTGTTGGCTACTGGTAGTTTCAAGGGCACAGTGATGAAAAATATATTTTGCACTATTTCATTACCAATCAAGCTAGATTCCAGCTGTTTTCACGAATACTACGCTGTAGATGTTGCATTTAAAAACTTCAAGCTTCAATGTACTCAATGTGTAAACGCACTTAAATTTTCTTCCAAAAAACTTGGAATCTTATACATACACATACACACACACACACACACACACACACACATGTATATAGTGTATAAAAGACTTAAACTGTTGAATTTGTCTGTAGAGATGAGGCACAAAAAGTACGAAAAAATTTTAAAAATTAAAAAAAAAAAAAATGCTACAACACATGTTCATGCAAACGACAACATCAGAAGCTGTATTAAACATACAAAGATTTAGTAAGCACATACTCATACATACAGAAATACTAACTCTGTTGGGTACAATGCGTGATGGAAGCCACACCGACAGCGTAGACGTTTCGTTGCGTTGCGTCGCGGCGTGGCACCCTATTTGCAGATCAAGCATCCAAGGGAAGCCGCGACGGACACGAAAATCACAAGCCAAGTGGATCATTCCCCTGATATTCCCCACCTTAAAAGCGCGATTATCACCTCGTTCCCACGGCGTGTACCTGACCCAATTTTGATGTCTGAGATTGAATCTGCTGGTGGCGTGTTGCAGCTTTGCAAGCTTAAGCTTAACCTGCAGAGAGGGTCATCGCAGGCTTTGTTCACTCTCCACCCGCTCTCGTTGGAGATACAAAGGTTTTGGGTTGCACTGTGGGCGTGTCACAGCCCCACAAATCGTTGCTTTCCCAGCTCGCAGTTGAAACATTGTGGCTCCGGAGGTACCTACAATTCGTCGTTTTGATTTACACTGACCGTGTTTTGACGTTGCGCCGTTGCTGCTTGGTCGGTGGTGTGGAGCTCAGTTTTTGGTTGCGTCATAGCAATGCGCGTCTTGGAGCTTTTGCAGTATTGAGACGCTTTGAAGAGGAGTTGTGGAGATGTGCGTGCTTGTCGCTGATTTGCTAATCCCGTTTCGTGTGCGTTGGTGTTAAGCTCTCTCCTCGGTTTTCAATATGGAGCGGAAGTTGCTGACTCTCGGTTTACTGCTGGTCGCGGCGTTCGCACTGGTGGAAGGAAAGGCTGAGCAAGTGCCGGCGCCTTCCGAAGCTTTCGAGGGTGCTCGGCGTCAGAAGGACAATAGCTTTGATTTCTTATTCTTCGTGCAACAGGTGACAAGACACTAGAGCTTTGCATTTCGTGTGCTTGTGGACCTATGGTTGAATCAGCGAATAGCTCGTGTGCCCTTCAATGTGTCATATATTGATTGACGGTTGTGTGATTGATGAGTTGGTTTTGAGATTGAATCGGGCGCAACGATGGTTGTTGCAGTGGCCAGGATCTTACTGCGACTCGAGACAGGGGTGCTGCTTCCCTGTGACTGGCGAACCAGGCCCTTACTTCGGCATCCACGGCCTATGGCCGAACCGCGACGATGGCACTTACCCGGCCACATGCAGCAACGAAGCATTTGATCCAAGCCTGGTACTAGTCTTGATTGTGCTCTCGTTACATTTCGGATACTCTGGTCATTGTTCTGTTTGATATGAATCAATGCATTGGCATGACTAGGCTATGGCCCTTGCAGCTTGCGGACGTGATCGACAACTTGAACAAGAATTGGGGAACCTTGGCTTGCAACTCAAAACGCGGCAACGAGGATTTCTGGGAACACGAATGGTCCAAGCACGGCACTTGTTCCGGCTTCACGCAGCGCGAATACTTCCAGAATTCCGTCGATCTCTACAATGACTATGACATCACAGGTGCCCTTCGGGATGCAGGCATTGTGCCGGACGATCGCTTTTACTCGATTGCCGAAATCTCCAAGGCATTTGCGAATCTTCTTGGATTTGCTCCTGAAATTGAGTGCAACACAGATCCCAAGGGAAATAGACAACTCTATCAAGTCTACATTTGCGTTGCAAAGGATGGAAAGACATTGGTTGAATGCCCTGCTTCCATCCGCAAACCATGCCAAGGCTCAGTCCAGTTCCCCGTGTTTGGCTCCAATGACTCAGGTGACGTCAAACCTTCCGACACAGAAGTCATTGCCGATGAATTATTGGATATTTCACAAGCATGAAGCCTTGGCTGACATGGCTATGGAAATACTGAAAAACAATCAAGGAAGTGTGAGGTGCTATTGCGTGTTGCGTGACTTGAGGTTGTATAAAGTTCTCCTCGACTCTTCAACCTGTGACTCTTACCTGTTTCCAGTCTTTGCGTTTGACTTTTCTAAACCCTTGTTGCTGCTTACTTTAAACTTGAGAAGTTCAGAATGGATGAGTGTACGGGGGTTGTCTGAGAATCTAATGCTAGAACTTGCTGGTTTTCACCCTTCTTCATCTCTTTTGACACGCTCATTTCTTGTTGTAAGAATTTCAGGTTTCTTATAGAATAATCACAATTCTCAAAAGAAATGGTTGCATATTCTTTATGCTCGTTTGAGGAAGTTACGACTGTATTCGCAAATTTAACATGTGCATTCAAAGATCGTTGTCGGTATTTCCAGCATAATAAAAACCACAGTTAGTGTGGACACCGTGCTGTGGTGAACAGTAAAGGATTGGATTTGTTGGGGCCGTGCAAATGCAAACTCCCACTGCGAGAAATTCTCCTGGTGAGAAGATGCGAGAGTTAGCAGGTCCTCAGTGCAGTGCAGCATACTTCATTCGCTCATCCGCCCGTATGATCAGGTGTTATACCTTTCACCCACTAACCCTACTCACCACTAAATTCAACGCACCATTGAATCTGGCTCCGGAAATAACTGAAAAAATTGGCAGCGCGTAAGGAGTGTAGTTCAAGGCCTTCAAAGATTGGACTCAGAAATCTTCATAATGCACAACCTGATACGCTCGAAGTAGTTCACAAGCACTGAATTTGCTAAGCATTACCCATATTCATTGTCATACAATCGAGCAGAACACAAAGACCATTTCGTTTGAGCACCAATATCACTATGGTACACGCTCAATTGTACCCCTGGGCAAATTCTGAAGTCGAACATGACCAGTGTGTCACGTGGGGTTAAGACTGCAGACGCATCATCAGGTCTTATTCCTCACACCAAAAATACCGCCGACCTCTGCAACCACGAGGTAGAAGGGCAGCAAAATCAAATCAACTCTGCATCAAAAACCAGCACCCATAAACTTTTCTTCAAATTCCTTACAATCTGCTGATACAATTGTGAGCTACTTGGAGCGTCCACCTAACACTGTCCTCACCAAGTTGTTGCAAATACTCCGACCTCTTTGTCCATGCCCACTTCCTCAACATCGTGTGACGCCTCAAATGATTCAGGCTCCACGCGACACAAGTAAGATCAGCCACGATGACTTTAGCAAAAACGAGAGAAATTGTGATACTTAGCACCAACCGTCTGTACCCACAATGCTATAACACACGGCAGCCTCAGCTGAATCTCTGAGAATCACTGCTATGGGTGAACAAACCGGTCCTTCACCCAATGCGTACCGAACTATGCACTTCCTCGCACAAGTCCAGTAACCCACATGAGAAAACACGATTCTTGAAGCTACGAAGCTCCCAAAGTTCCCAGAGCTCCAATGACTTTGTTCCCCACATATATAAAAACTTTGTCTAGGGTTTTGGGTTTAAGGGAGCAAAGAATTAGGGTTTTGGAGGTGTGAAGAAGTTCTCACAGTTTAGTGAATTCGTAGTTGTAGCAACAGTCGTATCAGCGTCGCGTTCCGTCTAGTTTGTCATAGGTGATTCTATGGCCCCGTCAAGAGCGATGGTAGAGAAGAAACAATCAAAGGTGGAGGCTGAGGTTGATGGTGCCGGGCCAGAGTTGGCGTCCAGGTCGCAGAAAAAACAGAAATCTAGAAAACGGCAGAATGGTACTTCACAGGTGAACACCGACTTGACTGAGGCGACTGGTAACGGACATGACGAGCGTGAAGTTGGAAATCCGAAAAAGAAGAAGAAGATGTTGAATGTGCAGCCACAGGTTGTGGAAGCGAACGCCGAGGAAGAGGAAGAGAAGGCGGAGGAGGAAATGGATGGAGAGGTCGCAGAGCAAGCGGAGGCTGACGAAAGAGACAGCAAGGACGAACCCGACGTTGCCAAGGCTGAAATGAACAGCAAGAAAGGCAAGAAGACTACCTTCACTATTGAGAATTTAGGAGGAACTACTCAGGTTGAAGGGATTATGAGTACCACCGCCTTCGAGTCGTTGCCGGTTTCGGAGCCCACCAAGAATGCCCTGAAAGACACCGGGTTTACTCACATGACCGAGGTACGCAATTCGGGAATCACTTTGGGTAATTGGAGCAGAGAGAGGGGGTTGAATTTGGGTAGTGAGAACAAGGAGTCATAAGCTGTAGTTATGCGGATGTTGTTGTAGGAGCAAAGCAATGCTTTGCGGGTGCTGTTGAGAGTCGGAGGTGTCGGGCAGGGGTAATTGCAGTTATGGTGCTGGATGAAGACCTTGTACGCACATAATCTAAGTTTGAGGTAGTAACGCAGATTCAAGCGAGGTCAATTCCTCAACTGCTGACTGGTCGCGACGTTCTGGGAGCTGCAAGGACTGGATCGGGAAAAACGCTGTCGTTCGTGGTGCCGGCAGTGGAGTTGCTATTTCATGGACACTTCATGCCGCGAAACGGGACTGGAGTGATAGTTATCTCTCCCACGAGAGAGCTTGCCATGCAGGTGGGGTGCAAGGGATCGCTGAGTGATGCATGGAGATGGGTGTGTAAGGCACGATGTTTGACGGTGGTGTCTGCGTTACAGTATGTCGGAAGCCATGTGGTAGCATGTCCTTGGACTAGGGTTGTCTTGCAAGCGTCGAAGTGTGGGGTTCAGAATGGATTGAGTGTGTACGGTAGGGTGTTTGGTGTGTTGATGTTGCTCCCGAGGCCGCTTCTGAAGTAGTGGTTGCAGATATATGGAGTCGCTCGAGACATACTGAAGTATCACAAGCAAACGCACGGTATTGTGATGGGGGGAGCGAACAGGAGAACGGAGGCGGAGAAGCTGGTGAAGGGGGTGAACTTCTTGGTGGCTACTCCAGGTCGGCTGTTGGATCACTTGCAGAACACGAAGGGGTTTGTGTTCAAGAACCTGAAGGTGAGTGTGGATGTTAAGGCGAGGTGTTCCACAGTGCAGGTGTGAGGGGTTGAGGAGTGGGGAGGGGTGTGGTGAGCAACATGAGCGTGGTGGTTGACATGATGAAGCTGTGCATGATATTTGCAAGACATCAGAGGGAACTTGGAGTGAAGGAGCGTGAGGAAAGTGGTGCTGGGTAGTATGGGTAGGACTGATGAGTTGGATGTGTGGGTGGGCGGCGCAGTGTCTGGTGATCGACGAAGCGGATCGAATCCTGGAAATAGGGTTCGAGGAGGAAATGAAGCAGATAATAAAGTTGTTGCCGAAGGAGAGACAAACAGTGCTGTTTTCAGCCACTCAGACGACAAAGGTATGGTGTTGATGGTGTAGCAGAGGCAGTGGTTATAGTCGTTGAGTGGTGGTAGTAGAGGACGTTGGGGTTTGAGGTGGATGGAAGTGCATGCAATGAGTGGGAAGGAATGGGAGGCGTTGCAAGAATCAGGAATGCAGAGTGATTGGTTTGGTGCATTGGTGCAGGTAGAGGATTTGGCGCGGGTGTCGTTCAAGAAGGCCCCTCTGTACATCGGTGTAGACGACGGTCGATCGAAGGCGACAGTGGAAGGATTGGAGCAAGGGTATTGTGTGGTGTCGAGTGCGCAGCGATTCTTGCTTCTGTTCACGTTTTTGAAGAAAAATCTGAAGAAGAAGGTAAGAGAGCGGGTGTGGGCGTGATTGTTGCGAAGTATTGTGGCGGTGTAGGCTGTGAAGTGTGTGTGTGGGGGGGAGGGGGGGGGGGTTGTTGTAGCGCGGTGGGCCATTTAAAAGCAGGGGTGGGAGACAGGACTGAAGTTGCAGTTGGGAGGAAGATAAGGGGGTGGTGCAGCAGAATGTTGGGACAAGGAGAGGTGAGGGGGTTGACGAGGACATGCTAAGAATGTGAGGTGTGGCGTGGATGCAGATTATGGTGTTCTTTTCGTCGTGCAACTCTGTGAAGTTCCACAGCGAACTGTTGAACTACATCGACATTCCGTGCCTGGACATTCACGGGAAACAGAAGCAGCAGAAGAGGACGTCAACGTACTTTGAGTTCTGCAATGCGGAGAAGGGTATCCTACTGTGCACGGACGTTGCTGCACGTGGGCTAGACATTCCAGCAGTGGTATGTGTGGGATCCAGGTGGTGGTTGGCTGTGGAGATGCGCGTGTACGAGTAGGGAGTGTGTGGGTTCCTGATGAGTGGGTGTTGGTGCGGTGCTTGCAGGACTGGATTATTCAGTATGACCCTCCAGATGACCCAAGGGTAAGAGTCGATGCAACCTGGGGGTAGTGGATGTTTGGGGTTGGATTTTGGTTGCGTTTGGGTGCGAGGGTGGGTGGTATGTGGTATATGACTGAAGGTGTAGGACTGCGTGTGCAGGAGTACATTCACAGAGTGGGTCGAACTGCAAGAGGTGAAGGAGCGCAGGGCCGGGCGCTGCTGTTTCTGATACCGGAGGAGTTGGGATTCCTGAAGTATCTGAAGGTGGGGAGAGATTGTTTGAGATGGTGTGTTGAGATTTAGACGCAGGGACGCGGGTGGCCGTGGTGGTAGGTGGAAATGAGCTGACAGACGTTTGGTGGAGTGAAGTGGAGTGCAGTGGTATTTTGGTTGTGAGGGATGAGCAGTGGTCGTGGGTCCGGAAGGTTTGGTGGTTGGATGTCGGGTATGCAAGTGGTGGTTGATTTTGAGATGGGGTGGTGGATCGTGAAAGTAGAGGGGGAGACTGAAGTGGGTTGGTTTGTGTGCAGGGCGCAAAAGTGCCATTGAACGAGTACGAGTTTCCATTGAACAAGATAGCGAATGTGCAGTCACAACTGGTAAGAATGTTGCATGAGATACTGGTGGGGGTGGTGAGGAAAAGGAATGGGCATGGCTTGGAGGATGAATGTTGTGGCATGGTGACAGAGGATTAGTGACATTAGAGCGTGCGGAGTAATAGTATGGTGGTTATGAAGAGGAATCGCGAACGGTGTGGTAGTGTAGGTCATGCGAGTCGTGGGTTGTGTTTTGGGTTGGTTGGAACGGTTGGGGTGTGCGTGGGAACGATCCAAGCATGGCGCGTGTGTGTGTGATAACAGGAAAAGCTGGTGGAGAAGAACTACTACCTGCATCAGTCGGCTCGTGATGCATACCGGTCTTACTTGCTGGCTTACAACTCGCATGCTATGAAAGACATATTCAACGTGCATCGGCTGGATCTACAGGTACGGAATATGGGGATGCGGAGTGGTGTTAGATGTCCGGTGGGAAGTGATAGTGTACAAGATGCAAGGCAGTGTAATGAGGGGTGCAGAGGAGCAGCAGTGTGAAGGTAGGAGTGTGCAGGTGGGAAGAGGTGTGGACGATGAGTGGATGGAGGATATGAAAGCAGGAAAGGTGTAGAAGACGTGGGTGCTGTTGACAGAGTGGAGTGAAGTGTTAATGCGGTGGTGATGGGTTTGTGTGGTGCGGTACAGGCGGTGGCGTCGTCATTCGGGTTCAACTGCCCTCCGAAGGTGAACCTGAATCTGGATAGCAGTGCTGCAAAGTTCAGGAAGAAGGGGCCAAAAGTGGAAGGGCGGAGTATCGGCAAGCACGGGTTCAATGCAAGCAATCCTTATGGGAAGAAAGCAGGTGGAGGCGCGACGAAGTTCACCCGGTTCTAGGATGAGTTGGTGGAGGGTTGGTGGCGCATTTGTGCGGCGGTAGAAAGGAGAATAGGTTAGCGGTAGGGACAGCAGCGCAAGCAGTTTAGGTTAAGTGGGTAGAATGTGGATTCAATGAGGGGGAGAAGTGGGATGGTGAATCTGAGATTCTGGTAGCCACGACATAGTTTTTGATTTGGCGTTGGCGTGTCGATCTCGGATGCCCCAATTGGATGATGGTGGTAGCCTCCAGCAGAGAAGAGGATGCGGGCGGCTTGGTGTAACGTGAGATAGGGAAGCATGTGGGGAGAGTGCACATATGTGTCATAACTTGGGTCATGAACCTGGAACTTGACCAATGGAGCATGATGCAATCTGTGCTTTCGAGGACTTCGATTGTGGAAGATTTTAAAATTAGGCAGTTGGAGGATTCTCTGCGGGTTTTCTAGACTGGCGGTGCAAACTGGGCTGGCGGAACAGCATGTGGCGAGGGTGCACTGAATGTGTTGGCGTCAGGGTGTGCTCGGCCGCCTAAATGGAGGGTTTGTGCAAAAATCGGAAGGGGTGCCTTTGTGGAAATCTTGATCTATTTCACGAGCACAAGCTTGTAATTCTTGTGGTATGGCACACCCACATTGCAACATACAATTTTTTAGTTTTGTTCTTGATTTTGAAGAAAATTTATTTATTTTTGTTTCTCGGATGAAATTATCTTTTATTTGTACCACACTACATGAGTTGGCATTTCATTGCATGTCTCATTGTTGAGTTTTTGAGGTATTTGCCGTGCTAAGGATTAATTTCAGATGTACACCATGTTTTTGTGATGTAGTTTATCATATCTATGACAGATCATAGTCTTCCTTTAGGAATGTTTACACGTGTATTGCATAAAATAGGCTGTAATTGATCAAGTATAATAATGAAAATAATCTTAACTCATTACTAATATAAGTACAATCATGATAATAATAGTAATAATCAAATGGTTGCTTAAAAGTGGCTGAAATTTATTTTTTGCTTCGAATTTTAAATGTCACAGTTGATAAGATGATTTTCCTAAAAACCATCTTAAATCATTAAATCATTAAATCAGGGTGTCACAGTTAAATCATTTTTTTATGATTTTACTATGAGAGTCTTGTATTAATAAACTTGTATACATATACTCTAAAATGTATATGTTCCTTTCAGTTATTAGTAATTTCAATTTGTTAAAATTTATTGAACGGAATGGTTAGCCAAAAATTTATATATTTATATATATTATTTTGGATTTTTGTTAAAAGTATACAAGAAGGTTTCGTAGATAAATCTTCTGCAAAATATTTTGATTCGTTTTGACTTTCTTTACACATTGTAGGAATTCTAGAGTATTGTAATCTTAAAGAATATATCCAAAAAAAAAAAAAAAAAAAAAAAAAAAAAACTATTAATGCATTTATTTACATGCCAACAGCACCTTGTTAAAACCCAATCTTGTGAGATTTTTCAAATGATTTTCTTGAATTCAGGTAGATTGGATTTGGATCATTTTTAAATGCACTGAATGTAGGTTATATGAGCTTGAATGAATGTAAAAAATAAACCATGTTCTATATCTATCATATAAGGTAGCTTAGGAGTGGCTCTCTGCTTAAGATGTATACTAACATCCTCATACATACATAAGGATAAATTGTGTAGTCATGTATAAAAAAATCACTGAAATTAACATGTAACTCACTGAAAATAAATTGTTGATTTTCAACAACTTGAGTATCTAACGTATCATACATGTAAAATAAAACTAATATTTTATCCTAAGAATTTAGAGTTAAAATATTAGAAAAAAATAATGAAATTATAGAGTTGCTTTAAATACTTGATAATTAAGATGTTCTTTAAAGATAAAAACAAAAAAAATCAATAGAATCAAAATCAAATACTCTATTGTACAAACAATACATTAACATGTGTGATTTGAATTGCCAATCTTAAAGTTGGCTCTATTAAAGATGTGCCTCATTTAAAATTTAAAATAAAAATAAAATGTGCATTTATTTATATTAGATAAAGCATTACATATATATATATATATATATATATAAATTCATGTTTTTTTAGGTATAGCACCAACTCACATGATATCTTTTTGTAGAGTACTAGATATGCTAAGAAAGACAATTCTTATAGACTCTCTTGATTCCTCTTAAAAACATTCCTTTTTGGAGGGGTCAATTTTTGACTTAGCAACCACAAATTAAACTTTTACACTTTTTTTGTGGCACAAGTTTCCACTAGTCTTTATATATATATATGTATATATATATACACAAATGGAGTTGTTAAAACCACACCTCCCAAACCATGTGATGATTAATTTTGAGAGATAGGGAATGAGGGATGGGATTAGGGAACAAGGCAGGGGGTTGGGGATAGGGGACAAGGGGCATGAAGAGACAAAGAGGGGGATGGACAAAATTGATCATGAGATGGTAATATGGGGTGTGGCTTTAACAACTTCCAATATTGTGTATATATATATATATATATATATATACACACATACTACTATAACCATTCATTTTAAAATAAATCATAAATGGTACAAGACCTTGTGTTAGAGAGATTTCAAGTGTTAAAATCATTGTAGGGATTTCAATTGTAGTGATTAATTTTGCAAAACCCTATTGTTTATAAATAAATGGTTTATAGCCTTGATTTCTAATCGTGGAATATTTTGAAAATAAATAGGAATTCGTAGATAAAAGTAATGAAGAAACACCAGAAATTGCTGAAAACTATTTTTTTTAAAGAAATTATATTTAGAAAATAAATTACATACATACATAGAATAAAATAAGAAGAGGAAGATAAACATAATGTAAAAATTAAATGATGAAACATGGAAGAGAGAGAAGATACAGAAGAAGAAGAAGAAGAAGAAGAAGAAGAAAGACAACGAGAAAAAGGAATCCAATGAAAAGGAAAAGAAACGAAGGTGCAAAAAGAAAACGATAAGAGAGAAAGAGAGAAAAAGACAAAAGAAAAGGGGGGAGGTGGGATGCGAGGGAAGGGCGGGAGGGAGAGAAAGGAACTTAGGGAATGTGTGAGGGAGGGGAGTGTGAGGGCGTGAGTGTGTGAGGGCGTGAGGGCGGAAGCTTGGGTGGGGGTTTAGGGAGCGTTGTAAACGAAGCATGATTGGTAGTTGTTGAGTGGTGCAATTCAGGGGGTGGAGGAATTGTTGACGAGTAGGAGATTTTTGACATCGAGTCTGTGAATAATGCACCTCGAACGACGAGTGCGCAGATCATGGCGTCGTTTTCAGGGGGTGGTAGTTACATGGGAAATAATTCGTCTTTGTTCTCGGGGATGCAGTCGTTCGGGTCTCAGCCGCAGTCTGTTGGGATACAGCAACAGCATCCGCAGCAAGTGAGTCCCTTGCAGCAGGGGCAGCAGCCTATGCAGAATTTGGGGGCGGGTTTTGTTGGGTGCCAGTACATGATTAGTAGCCAACAGAGCTTAGTGCAGTCGCAGTCCCTTTTGCATGGGCTCGGATTCAGTCCTAGCCAGGGGCTTGCGCCGTCGCGTTTGTTAGGTCACCTCACGCCGGCAGAAGAGAATTGGGTAGGGCGGGATGGAGATGCTACTCGGAACGGTGAAAGGTCTCTTGGTGGAGGTCCGAGTGACAGTGGTGATTCGAGTACGGGTGAGGAAGATCGTCAACTGGGAAGGAAAGAGAAACTGCGTGAAGGAGGGAATCCTGAGGAGAAGACGCGGAAAACTTTTAAGGATACGCGGATTAGAGGTTGTATTTCATATATGAAAACCATCACTTGCTGGATATACTGTGTTTATAATCTAAATCTGGTGAAAATTTGAGTAATCAAGAGACGTATTATTTTTCGGGTGGTTTGTGCGTACAACATTTCTCTCTGTGTAGGTCTTGTAGTGGTGAAGTATCTGCATAAAGTCGTCTCCTCTTCCCATGAATTGAGAAGAGATTCAAAATTCTCCCCTCTAATTGTGTCTTTCAGAATTTAGTTTTATCTGTGTATCACATTGTCTCGGATTCAAATCATAGCTTCGTCTCCTTATGAATGCAGATATTGAGAAGGAGGAAGATAAAAGTGACGGATTTAGGGATAATGGAGAACCGTCAAACACACCAAGAACTGATTCCAAGGTGATAAATATCTACCAGAAATCATGGTTAGCAACAGACATCGGCGCTCGAAACGTCGGTGTCTTAAACTGAATCCAGAATAGTTACCTTCTTATCATGAGTCGGAGAATAATTTAAGAGCAGGAATTTCAATGAGAAAGATCAAAATCTTCCGCACTTAGTTATTAGTGATTGTTATGTTAATCTGCATCGTAATCCTTTGACACTTACCCTGTTTAGATAAGAAGGGAAAGACAAAAACACAGCAAGCGAGAACGAGATGCAGTTTCTGATGCCCGACTGTTGGAGAATAAGAACGATTTGTTTCTTGAATCGTCCTCAGACTCTGGGTCTAGCAGCGATGACTCAGACAAGGACGAAAGGGAGGGCTGGAACAAGAAACGGAAGCGCACTGGTCAGGATGCTGATGGAAATTCCACGTGGACAGATGAATCTGTAAAGTTCCTTTTTGAAACCTATGATGCTATACACCAACGACTATGGGAAGAAAGCAATGGTCATGTCAAATATCAGAAGAAATGGACGCCTATCTTAAAAGCCATGCAGGATAAGTTTGGCAAGCATTTTTCTAAAAAGCAATGCCAGAGCAAATACTGGAGCGTAAGGCGTGAGTGTGCGGATTATAGGTAATAACTTCTAGCAGTGTGTACTCCCTTAATTGTCCGCGGGCTAGATGTTCACGTGGCCATGTTTTTTCTCGGTATTGGAGTCGTGAGAGGTTCATCCCCATTGTAAGTTTCTGTCTAGCACAATCACTAATGTGTGCTACCGTTTAATTGTTTGTTTGGCAGAAACATGTCAGCCAAAGCTGCACAATCTGATCCATGTTGGAATCCTAGCATCGCGGGAAGAGAACTTCTTAAGCCGAAGTTTTACGATGTTTGGTTCGAAGTTTCTGGGAAGAAAGAGGATGTCTCGACAAATTTAAATTCGACGAAGGCTACTGTTGTCAAAGATGGGAAACATTCCTTCCGTGACCCTAAGACGTCAATGTACAATGTTTCGCGGAAAGTTGTTGGAAAGGATGGCCAATCGACGAAGCACAAAGTTGAAGATTGCGGCAGTGCATTGAAGAAATTGCAGCAGCTTCTGCAACTACAGCTCCAGGTGAGAATTGCAGTAAAGGTGGACCTCGGTTTCTTACTTTGATGCACGTGGCTTGGATTATATGTAAGGTTACGAAAACAGTAGCCGGTATCGGCACGTATGATAAACTAATATCTTGTCAATAAAAATAAATGCACACATCTGGTGCTATGATGAATTTTTCCAAGTTCTGTGGGGGTCTGAATTGTTCTTAGAAAATAGTGCTAGGATTTTCCTCTGTTGCATCAGCGTAGTGCAGCTACTTTGTAGGTAAGTGGTACTAATATTTAATTGAATAGCCGAAGGAAAATCAAAACTAAATTGTCAACGCCATGCTGTCAGATGCCTTACAGTTTTATATTTAATTTGTATGGGGTTCCGGCGCTACAGGCTTCAGAAAAGAGGGAGGAGGCCATGAAGTTCCGCACAGAGCAGATGATGGATCTTTTGACGCAGCACATGGAGCATGTGGAGAGAAGAGTTAACAGTTTAGATGAAGTTCGCCAACCCCAACTTTACCTTCTACAGCGTGTTAACCACAAACTGGAAAAAGTGCTTGAAGGCTTCACTGCTTTGAACGAAACTTTGTCCATAGTAGCATTTAAATCTAATCAGAAGCCGTCATCCTTGGGATGACTATTCGCTTCGTCCTCTTGTGTAAAATAGGTGGCATGGAAACTAACCAATTTTATTTGGCTTGCTTCCAGATAGAAAAGTTACTGATTTGTGTCTGACAGGTGATCCTTCGTACATATCGTTTTTTTCTTTTTCAGTGCAGTTGGCCTTAAATGTTTGTTTATACGTTAACATTCAGTAGCTCTATTCTCAGTGCCTCCTTTCTTCAACTTCCAGTAGGAGAGAATATGAACTCGGATTGATGTAATCAGGTATAAAGCATAAAGACAAAGAAGCCCTTTCAATAGTTAAAATCATTGCTTTATATTATTTTGAAATGAAATATATATTTTTTGACATTTTCCTTCTACCATATATGGAGTTTTCATATTTTGAGATCCACTCTTTTGACATCTCCCTTCCACCATACATGCGACTTGTATATCTTTAGCATGAACCATGCAAGAGTTAATTGTTTCAAATAAAACATGATTTTCTCAATATATATTTCTTTATATAGAATCTAAACATTGGTTAGCTCTTTTATCTTGCTATCTTTCTTAAAAAATAAAAAAGTACACATGTAAAAGCTTTTGAAATGTTGTAATATGTTTTCTTAGTAAAAGAAAATTGTTCAATAATATGAAGAGGCAAAGAAAAAAAATGATGAACAAGTGAAATAACTTAATTCCAAAGATTTTAGTGAAAGGCTGCCATAAAGTTAGAAATATGAACATTTTGATGTCTACATCAAGATGTGTTTTTATTAAAAAAGGAACAAATTATGCTATTTTAAAGATTAAATCTAAAACTTTTTACATTTTGTCACTTCAAAAAGATTGAGTTTTTGTTTCTTAAAAATCTCTCACTATTAATTAAGAAATTGCTTAGACTAAATGAATAAACATATAAATATATTTGTATAAAATAAATATATTTTAAAATAATATTTATTAATATATTATAATGCATATATTTTAAATCTTTTTGATTTGATTTGATTTGATTTTATAATTTTATAATAAGGTTGCAATCTATATAGTTCTAAGATACTTAGAAAATTAAAGCATCAAATGATTTTTTTATTTTTTTATCTTTTTATTTGTTTTCCATCTTAATAATATATATGAAATACATAAATAAATAAATAAAAGAGATATAGTTATCAAATAGAAAGGAGATATATTGCAACAAATTTATGAAAGAAATCTTACATTCTTGCAACTCCATTATATTATTTTGTTTTTACTTACAAAACACAAATAGCAAAACCAAATGATACATACAGATCTGAATGTTGATAAAGATAGGAATAGAATTGGAAGGATTGTACAAATTTCTTAAATGAGGTTTTATATTATTTACTATTTCCGGAATTTAACAAGTACTCTACCATATTACACAATAAAAATTTACAACAAGACTTTATGATGGAACCTTGGATAGAAACTAAATATAATTGATTGAGATGATTAAATGTAGAATCAACTTATGTGCAAATATTTATTAATAATTCGAAAGTATTATTAAACATATACAAAATAAAGAGGTTAAGATAAAATATTTAGAATAAAAAATAGTTTTCTATCAATTCATATTTAAAAAATGATAATAAAAAAATCTTCAAAGGTTATATAGCCAAGAATATATATATATATATATATATATATATATTAAAGAAAAGAAAACCCACAAATCAATGGTGGATATAATTTCAAGTATCTTTTTAGAAAAAATTGCAAAGGAGTAGCAAAACTTCATAACCAAACTATTCAAGCTAAACATTGTATATTAATTGTGGATGCATATATGGTAGATGCAAAATTTTAAAAGATATATCCGATTAAATATTTAAAAAATTACATCAATAGATGGTGATAGTTATTTCTTGTATCATCAAAGAAATGAAGTAAGAAAATATAATGTTTGTAAGGTTGTAAATAAGCAAGATAAATTATATAATTTTTTATAATAAAGAAATAAATTTCTATATTAATACTGAGGTTTTTAGTTCAATTTAATATATAAAGTACATTCACAAACACATCTATAAAACACATGTTTATACAACAATGAAAATAGAAAATCAAGAAGATAAGGTCAAATAATATGTTAATTTCATTTAGTTTTATTTATTTATTTATTTATTTATTTATTTGAAGACAAAGATGCAATTGAAGTCTTGCATTAAAAAATGTTATAATGTGACTTAATGTCCATGGTAATACCATGAGTCTTGAGGGTATTTTTGGATATTTTTAAGTTTGCCTCAAAAACTCTAAGATGAATATTATGAATGATACATGAGCTTTATGGAGATGTTTTAGAAGAAAGAGTGCAAATATGAAGAAATCACCTTAAAGTAGAATCACTAATTTAATGATGTTAAAGTAGAGATGACATATTAGACAATCAGATTGAAAACTAATAGTTCTTTTGAGTAGTATTAAACACAAGTAAACAATTCAAGAATTCTATTTTCAAGAAAATAGAATTGAAGGGAAAAAAAAAAAGAAAGAAAAAAAAAAGAAGAAAAATTGTAATATTAACATGCTTAAATTATAGAATATTTTATATTAGATTTTTGAAACAACAAAATAATATTATAGGAATCAAAAATTACAAAGACATTATGCTTCGGAAAATTTACAAAGAAAGCGATGACAGTGTAAACTACAATATTGCAAGAGAAAACTGCATCACTTTTTATGAACATATATATATATATATATATATATATATATATATATATAGTATTTATATTATTTAAAAAAAAACATTATAATAAAGCATGGAGGCAATACATGATTTGCGACTAAGCAACACCAGAAGTTGGTAGTTTTGTACAATGCGGATTATTAACCAAAACTCAACGAGAACTATCTTCAACTAGATTGATAGTTATCTGAAGACAGTCTGGATTTTAACAGAAGAAACCCTCGAAAAAAAGCCAAGTCTCGATTCACGATTAGTGGTTGGAGTAGCAAAAACTCATAGCATAAGAGCAAGCCATTCTAAGACGAATACTCCTGTGAGTTGTTTGTGGAACTAAGAAAGTGAATGAAGTGTTAGATAGTTCGTAGCACATGAAGTGATCTTTAAAATGAAAGTCAATGATAACAAAAGAAAATAAACTAAGGAGGTACCCTTACACATCGGTGGTCAAAACATCCAGAGTTTTGGCTTGAACGATCAAATCCGCCACTAGTGAAAAGGAACTGAAGACACCGACAAGCCCCATATTTGGGGCTAAAATACAGGCATTACTAATAGCTATAAGCCTGCTGCTTCTTGCTCACAGTATCACACATATGAGCTGGCAAGAGCTGCTACAAAACTCATATCCAAATAAGATAAGGCCCTCTTCACAGATCCAAGGCAGTAAGCTGTAAATATGGATTAAAAATAGACGAGAAATCACTTGTCTTTGGCCTGCTGCTTTTGAAGGTTAATCTTGAGCCGAATACCTTCTTGCTGAACTCGTGCCTGTTCTTGTACAAGCTGTAATCTTTGAAGAAGCAAGCCTTGCTCAGCTTCACTTTGTTCACGCCACTTGTCCTCCAGTTGAGTCTGATCTCCAATAGGCAACCCAAGAGTCCGGCCTGTTGACCCAACACGGAATTCCATCAAAAAAGGTGTACTTATTTGACAGTGACTAATTCATTTGATAAGACAGCAGAAGTAAAGATCACGCGACAATATCCTATAAAGAAAGCAAACCCAAAACATAATTTCGCGGATCCAGAAGAATCGAACAAACAATATTGACTAAAGACCTCTAGTAAAACATCATACCTGGAAATGATGTTTCAGGAAAGTCGGTCCAGCTTCCTATACCTGGACCATTCATCCGTCCGCCATGACCAGCAATAGCCCCTAGTCTCTCAGCAACCAAGCGTAATTCCTCCATGATCTGGGAACTCTTCTCCCTAGCTTCCTCAACTATTTGAGTGGCCTTGGCACGAGTTTCTTCAAGCATCCTTTCAGATATGAGAAAGCTTTGCGTCCTGGCTTCCTCGACCATCTTCACGCAGGTTCCCCTCAAATCACGGAGGAATGCAAGGTTCTCCGCCCGTATCTCATCACTGAGGGCTATCTTGGCTGCTTGTTCAACTAAAGCAGAAGCTACCACATGACCATTGTACGCTGCAACTCGTTGTGAAGCATCCTTTCCATGGGAGTTCACATCCACTTCCATTGCAGTTGGAGTAGGACCCTTGGTTGCGACAGGTTTTGGGGCTGAGGGTTGATTTCCTGTCACTGCACTCGCTTCTGTTGCACGTGCTGCTGGAACGGCCTGTGCGACTGGCGCTGCTTTCACCGCCAGTGGAGTTCCTTTCGCTGGCACTTGTTCGTCGGAGCTAGTTTCTGGTTTCTTCTTGATTTCCGCTCTCTTTTGAGGAGTCGCGTTAGCTACGGCAGATTGACGTCCTTTCGCCTGCATTGGCTCAACCTCCTCATCCTCTTCGTCTTCCTCTTCTTCATCATCATCCTCCTCTTCTTCTTCGTCTTCTTCCCCTTCATCCTCACCACTTAACATCGCCTGAGTCGCCTGGGCAGATATCAAAAAAGAGAGGGAGATTAAGGCGTGTGAGTATGGTAAGTAGGTGATTAGAAGAAACGAATATTTACATGTCTAGTAACACAGATTGACCAGATCCTGAAGGATGAGATGACTAGTAATGGCAGAAATGATTGAACTAGAAGCTCATTAAAAACAAAAACGACATTGTTTAATTTCAAAAATGAACATGTGCTTGACCTTGTGAGGTCCCCAAATGGTATGCCACATTCGCCACAGAACCCCTTCATGGTCACTCTTCCAGACGTTCGTTTCGCCCGCCTGGATGCGGTGCAAGAGAGCTTCATAACGCAATCTCATCCGCCTCACCTTCTCACAGAGCCTTTCAGTTCTTTGTTCTGGATCATACCTATCCATAAACGGAAGCCTGTTCATTAACCTCTCCCAGTACTGATCTGCCCGAGAAGCGGGAAGAGTTGCTCCATAGACGTCATTGTAACGATCTAGTTGAAGTTCTTTTGAGAGAACAATTTCCTCCTCAGGTGACCATGGTCGAGAAGGCCTACTAGCCTTCTGTGGAGTTTCCTCCTGGAAACAAAAGGTATTTTCTTTATCATTTGGAACAAAGCATGGAACCGAAGAACCAAAAACTAGTTGCAGCTTGAAGGCAAACTACATCTTAAGATATATCAACAATCAAGGAATTGTAAAACCGCCGACATAGCCAACGAATAAGTTCGAGTATTAGAGATACGCACAGAAAATTATCTAAATTTAAGTGCAACAAACCGAAGATCACAACGGAATCCTGAGATCAGAAGAGTACGCTTGATAAAGAAAAAAAATTACGAAATACTTGCCTCGGACCTGCTGGACGTAGATTTTGCACCATCCGACTTAGCGGCAGAACTCGGGGCTTTCCTCTTTGAAGACTTCTTGTCATCTTTGTCCGCAGTGTCTTTAGATGCTTTTTCTCTCGGTGTAGGCTTGGCTTTCTCTGTTTTAGATGCGCTTTGTTTCTTCTTATCTGACTGAGGAACCACTGGCTGTAGATCAATTTGAAACCACATGTGAGAAAAAAGCTCATAGACTGAAGAGGAAACTTGTAACTGTTACACTGAAGTCAGTCGTAGATCAATAATTACGAGCATCGTGAATAATCCACTATAAAACCGTCCATTCGCAGTATAGAGGTATTCAACCATTAAAACTTCGTCAAAAAGGTAACAGTAAAAATAAAAGTAAAAGTGATTATTGGAAACTCCCAAATAGACCAGTTAAATTCTCGTATTAATAAATGAACCGAGCACTTTCAAATTAAGTGAATACTTGGTATCTAAGCTTCAAACAAAAACATTCTAACTCTGGAAATACTCCGAAGACATCCGAAAGTGGAAGGCATCGCTAGAAACATAAGACATTGAAGTGTAAGTGCTCAAAACATGTTTCGTCGACTATAATAGGTATTTGACATACCTACCTCGTTTAAATGAAGCAGCGGTGCATGCGACCAAAAAATGAATATGTAAAGGCCATCTATCCCCGACCCAACTCTTACATATAGAATGGTTAATCTCTATTTGACCGAAGGTAGTTCCTTACGGGAAAATTACCACATCAAAAGCTACTTAACCTTAGTGACTCACTTCTCAGACAGACCTCAACTCAAATCTGGAGGTTCATCTTGCCATCTGGATTACCCAAAGCGACGGTTCCATGAATCAAGATTTCCCAATCCAGATCTGAGTAGGCTGTAGTCTTTAAAAAAGGAGCTGAGTACAGATTAATCACCATTAATCTACGATAGATTTCGATGAGAGCTTTAGTGTATTGCATCAATGAAATAACGGAGATCTGCCACAGGTAATATAAGGTAAACACAGAGGCCATAGACCCCCACAGAAATGTTGACTAGGATATTCTAGTTATTTTGGACTACGTATGTCAATGACATGGAAACAATTTAGAACAATATGGAAGACAAATTATGTAACGATTTGAGAACATCCCGTTGACTTCGCAAAATTAAATTCAGCTATCATTCCGAATTAGTTCCACACAAGCATTAGTGAGAAAATGGCGGCGTCGAATAAGCATAAAAACACGAGACCAGAAACATGAGAAACTACCTTTGGTGCCGATTTAGCAGCAGGGGTTGCTACTTCAGGCTTCTTTTTCTTACTTAGTGGCTCATCCTCTTTGCCCTTTTTCCCATTAGCTTCTCGAGTCCTCTTAGCAGGACTGCCAGGGACAGCAGCTTTGGTAGCCAGCTGCTGAACGATTTTCGAATCAAACGAGACAAATTGGTTTGTCAATAATAATATTATAATAATTTTTAAAAGTTATCTAAATATCTAAATATCTAAACACGCGCGCGCAAGCAAGAAAAATGAAGTTAAACATAAATAAATAAATAATTCAAGGGGGAAGACAAGCATATATATGTATATATGTATATATATATATATATATATACACACACACAAATTAGAGACCACACTTGACAACTTTTTTCTACTGTGCACCACGAACTATTGAAAATACATCTCAAATATACCTGCTGCTTCGTGGGAAGTATACTGGTAAGCTTCTTCTTAGTAGTGTCGGTGCTCTCGTCACTCTCAGATTCGTACTCAGACCCTCCTTCAGCCTGATCCTCGTCCTCAGTCTCCTCGTCGCTAGTCTCCGACTCTTCGTCTGAGTCCTTGACAGGAGGCTTTGGCTTTGGCGGTGCTGGGTTTTTGTCCATCGCTGCAATTTGCAACCAACGCACAAGATAGATAAGAGTCTTGAGTTGATACTTACCCATGTTTCCGAATTACAGACAAGCCTCCTACTTCGCAGTTACATAACTGAACATTCTCCAGAAACTTTGAAAGGATGTGGAAACTACACATAGCATGTGGATAAAAGAGATTCTCCAGACATACACTAACCACGACCTGTGGAACACACATGGTCTGCTCTTGCACTAAGGACATCGTGACACACGAACAGCATGGAAATTTCAGACCGACATCACCTGCAAACTTAAAAAGAGTTCTGGTAGCAGAAACATGCACCAGCCAAAGTCATTCAAACAAGCTCTGCCAACAAGCACATACTGTAGCAGAAGCCAAGGGACTTTGTCGGAACGAACTATGCGTAAAACATAAAAAAATCACAAGCCAAAGTCCAGTAAAGGCTACAAGGCAATCGACATAGAGATAACCCGACACTTAAACATAGTGAAATGACTCCACCACTACATCCATATTTAAGCCATGTGAAAGAAAAAAAAAAAAAAAAAAAAAAAAAAAAAACTCGCAGTTGACGATCATAAACGAACACATGCATTAAACAACAGGGTGACCACCTAAAATCATACAAAACTCCAAACTCTTGAAAAAAATTACACGAACACAACATCTCTAACTACTCAAACTAACAACAAAAAAAGGAAATAGCACCAATACAACGCGGGACACAGACTGACACACCTTAAAACTCACCTAAACCCTGTCCCCCTCAAGAGCAAAAGCTCCTCAAACACGTGACTCGAAAGCGCAGCACCAACGCTCCGCCGGTTGCGACCGACGCGCGACGAGAGCGAGTGACTGGTGGCGAGCGTCGAGAAGCGCAGGCGCCGGCGCGACCAGGCAAAGGTTGAGCAGCGGGACAGAGCGGGAGCCAGAGACACGAACAGTCACCGCAGGGTGGCTTGGCGCGGCGGGTCATACGAGTGACGCTGGGGGAGAGTGGAGCGGGGGTTGTGGCCCCGCCGGATTCGTGTAATGCGGTGAAGCTGGCGCAGGGTGCGAGCCAGCCACCTGCTGCGTGGCGCGGCGGGCGCGCGAGCGCGGGTGCCTGCTCGCCCCGCTCACGTTGCGTCTCCCCACTGCGAGCAACGCCCTCCCCAGCGCGGGTGCGAGCCGGCGCTGTTGCGGGTCCCGTCGCGACGCCCGTCCACGAAACAGCGTGGGCGCATCCCAGTTCGACTCGCAGCGCGGGCCCAGTTCGAGTCGCGACGGCGGCAAACCCAGCGAATCCCAGCCTCGCGCCCGCCCTCCCCGCCCCTCCAGTCCTCCAATTCTAGGGTTCGCGACTTGCCGGCGACGTCACCCACGCTGGAATCCTTCTCCCCCCCTCCCCTCCCCCCTAGTGAGAGTGAGCGTCCCATGACCTCCTGGTGCTTCCTCCACGCTTTCAGTGTGGCACCAGCGGCGTGACTCCTGCAAACCCAAACCCCATGAACTCGCTCTCACTAGCTGTTGCAGCAGCCTCTTCTTTGAATGGAGGAGCCATGGAAGACCAGCCTTGAGTCTGCCCCTCTCTTAACGGTTCTCATTCTGCCACCAACATCCTTGTCTGTGCCTCCAAAATTTTATGAAGCTTTATTGTGGTGGCTCATTGTCACTCGCTGCTCCCTCTGTGGAAGCAAAACTTGGATCCTAGTAGATATTGAAAATGGTGAAGACCTACCCTGGAGAAATTCCGCCCCTTCTCAATCTCTTCATTGAAAAATCGAAGCTTATTTGGGCTCTCTACACTTGGTGCCTGAGGATGAATCGTCACAGACCACGCTTACATTCCTGAGACTCCTTGAACTGTGTTCTGTGTAAGCTTGAGGTTGTGTTTCCTTGTTGTTGCTCTTAGTATTTTGTTGGTTTTAAAAAAATAACGAGTTTACAATATACGTTGAATTTGTGATCTGGTTTTCAGTTTATTCTTTGAGTTTGATGTAGGTGATGGTTGATATTAAACTAAGATATTCTCCATGTAAGTTTTGAAACAGGAACGTGACTTTTGGGTAAGAGAAAGATGGTTCAAGAGCGAGAACTTGTCCGTGTACCATGATGATATGGATAAATTTTCTACCTATTTGTTCATATTTCGTAATACCAATGATGATAGCAAGTGTAACTTGCTATTCCAGGACGTATGCATTTATGGTTGGAATATATTTTTGTACATTCTTTGAGGTTGAAAGCTTTTCAAGTTTGTAATCATTACCTTGTGATTAGGCTTTCTTTTGAAACTGATAGCTATGATGTGAGGTATATTTACCCCAAAATTTAAATAAATATCAGCTATTAAAATGTCAATTCTAAGAATATGATTTTTTAAAGTTATTTTTTGACTTTCCAGATGGTCAAATTTCAAATTTTTCAATTGAATAAATGCAATAAACTGTGTGGATGATAAAATAAATAAATAAATAACTGAACCAAAATGAAAATTTCCAAATCTTCCTTTGATTGTATAAGGTTACAAGTTCCATCCATACAAATTAAAAACAAACAAAAAAACATTTTCGTCACCACAAAGTTATTATCTAAAAATGTATTTATGCATCATCTTATTTTTTCCCCCTGAGCGCATAAGTTTGTTTTCATAAAATTGTGTCTGTCCGCTTAATATAACAAATAACAAATGAGTGTCATCTTTTTAATCAATTAACTGTGCAAATATACAGGGGTCAAATTCAGGATTAAGTTTCTCATGGATTTAGGTTTACCTGTTATTGTAAATATTGAATACAAGTCTGAAGATACTGTGGGCTTTTATCTTTTTGTCAGGCCAAGAAAATTTGAATGCTTAAAGAGCAAGATTCCACCACAGCTGAGAATGGCCACCATTGTATAAAATCAATCATGAATGTGTATATATATATATATATATATACATATTGGTTTTTCTGCAGAAATTGAAGAGCAAGGTCGTGAAATGTCCTCAAAAAAATTAAAGTTGAAGTGCGATATTTGGCATGTAAACTGTACTCTATTCAGTGTATTTAAAAGTCTACCAAAAAATGAATATTTCTACATTTCCACAACATCACTGCATGAATTTTTTGGGTGTAAATATACCTTGGATTTTACTGGTGGGTAATCTTTCTTGGACTTTTGGCTTCAAAGCTTGGCTTTAGAAATTGTGCTTCCAAGGTAAAGAACAAGGTTTTGTTACACCAGGTTTTACACAAGCTAATGTGGAGGTCAAGGGTGACAAGAGGGCTTGGACACAACTTCTCACTCACAAAATCAAGCTTTACTACAATTAACACAATTACTTTCATGTTAATTTGATTGTTTTGTATTGCGACTCTAAATCTCTTCTTTGGAAGAAGAAGTTTGCATTAAGGTTTATATAATTCATAAAATTCAACTCTCAATAACAAATACCTTAGCTCTGACAATGATTTAAAGAAAGCATAGGATGATACAATAAGGGGATTTAGACTTAATGTTTTTGGATAACCAAATATCATGTTTTTTTGGTTTTTGGGAATCCAAATATCATAGATCACTCAAAATATCACCTCCCCAAATATCACCATTCAAACTTTATTACTTCCTTTAAGTTTCTAAAATATCGCTTGATATTTTGGTGATTTAGAAAAATCAAGGCAGTTAAGACAAAGAGAAGCAAAGAGAAGATAGTTAAGGCAAGCAAGGAAGTTTTTGATATTTCACATGTCCTTCTTTTTATATTTGGATTTCAAAATCATCCACCTTGCAAATATTACTTGATACTTTGAGATATCACCATGATTGAAATATCACCCAAAAACCTCAAGTCTAAATCCCCTTAATACTTAGGTGAATTACAAACCATGAAGTTTTTGAATGTAAGTTGTGCTCAAGGTTTGTCTGAGGACATTCCTACCAAAGTGTCATTGCAATACCCTTCAACCCTCTTTGTTTGTTTGTTTGTTTTGTTTGTTTTGTTTTTTTTTCTAATTGAGAGAAGATTGAGTGAAATTGGCCATTTAAATAAGAGTCTCTAGGGGGTCAATTGGATTATCTATGAAACAAGACTAGACTATCTCAAAAATCCAAGATCCTTTTAATCCACAACAACATAAAGTGTAACAAGATATAAATAAAGATAATTGTATAGATAGTTAGAACCATGGAAGTTTTTAGAATTGGGATTAGGTTAATGGATCAGGTAGGATCCACAGTGGAATATTCTAAAAAGAGTTTAGGATGGTTATCTAAGTAGGGTCTATTATAGAATCTTCTAAAAAAAAAGAGTTAAGGTGATTATTTAGGTAGAGTCCACCACCCAAGAACATTCTAGAAAGTCCACAGTAGTAGGATAAAGTATAAAAAGGATTGGCCAAGGCCTTTTGGGGCATCTAGTTAGGTATGGCTTTGGACCCTTTCTCTTAACAAAGTTTGATTCTACATCTTTCTGTTCAGTTCTATTTTGTTCTATTTCCATTTGCTTACTTTTGTCTTTTATGTCATATTCTATTTAATTTTGTTCAATTTTCTTTAAGTTTGTTTTGTCCTATTTTGTAATGAGGCTTTATGTTGGTGTGGATTAGGAGGGTCTTAAGTCTTTGAGATAGATAAGTCCTATTTTATAAAGCCTTATCATAAAATAGGATAAATAGATCAAAATAAAATTGAATGGAATTAAACAGAATAGGACATAAAAGTCAAAACTGAACAAACTAAAATAACATAGAACAAATTTCAATAAAAAGATGCAAAATCAAACTTTATTAAGATAAAAGGTCCAAAGCCATACCTAACCAAATGCTCCTAAAGGCCTTGACCAATCTTATTTATATCTTGTCTTATTACCCTCAACTTTCTAAAATGTTCTTAGATAGTGGACCCCACTTAAATAACCACTTCAAACTCATTTTTTAAAAGATTCTATGCTAGAATCCACCTAGTTAACTGCCTTAAATTCTTTCTAGAATGTTCCACGATGGATCCTACCTAGTCCACTAACCTAACTCCAATTCTAGAAACTTCCATGGTTCCAACTATCTATACAATTATCTTATCTATATCTTGTTACAAGCTAAATAGAAAAAAAAAAAAAACAATGTATCTATCTAGTATAATGGCATAGTCATCCTTCATGTAATCCAAGCTTCAAGCATTAGTATTATTTGGAGTGTCTGGTTGTGTCCTAAGTTGGCTTCCTAAATTGGTCCTTTATTTTCTCTTTTTGCTAATAGAAAACGAGAAAGTTGAAATATCTCCCAGCAGACTTATGATCAAGAAAAAAATAACTATTAAGTTTAAGTACATCATAAAGCATTAACAAAAAACAAAAACAAAAAAAAAAAAAAAACCAAAAAAACCAAAAAAAAACCAAAAAAAAAAACCAAAATCGAAATTAACCACAATTTACTTAGTAATTGCAAGTAAACCAAAAAGAACCCAAATTGAATTTTGGGATGCTTTGCATCTCTAATTGTAGTTTAGAAAAGCATCCTATGCACTAGAATAGCCCCAAGTTCTTTAGAATGGGATGCCTAAGGAAGTGACAATCCCATCAAGGCCAATACTTGCTGCTCCACAAGACTCAATCTGCAAGTCAAGTTGTCTAGGAATGCAGCCCTAAGTGGATTGTAAATTCTTTATTTAGCTAATTATTGGCAAAAAATTAACAACTAAGGAGTACAACAAGAGAAAGACATATATATATATATATATATATACGAAATAGAGATGTTTAAAATTGCTCTTGAGAGCTGCTCGTGTGGCCCTATTGGTTGTGGATCAGCTTTGGTTGTTGTCACTCATTATAAGGCACTAGTCAGGATGGGCTACCAGGGCAAAACAAGATCCAGATATAGTTTTCTAAAGCTTTTCTTATGAAATTTACTTATGATTTTATGATTCATAGCAAGTTTTTAGATGTTGTGTTTTTATATATATATATATATATATATATACAGTTTCATGAAAATAAAATAAAATAAATCCATATCATAAAATCGAGTTTGTGAAAAGATACATGGTTTTT